TGTCTCCAGCTTCCTCAGCTTCAAGAGATGTGTGTTCTGTCATGCCAAAGTTTCTGTGGATCATCACAGATACATTATCACCCTAATTGCTCTGATATGTTGTATAAGACCTGTTATTTGTTGTAGCCGATGTCTGACAAACAGGTAGGGGGGACCCTCTTTGCCAGTGAAAATCAAAGGAGTCCTTGTTTTATTCTTGCTGTTCAGCAACTCCACTTATCTAATGGTACCTTTACTCACAGACAACCTCAGACAAATCAGGTACTCTGTAATTACCACCTGAGCAGGGTGGTAGCAGAACGTGCATTTTGTAAGATGAAAGAGACAAGAAAAGCCTTTGCTGTCAAATCAGCCTCTGGTTCCTTGACAAGAATCTGCTTCCCTGCTACGTCCTGCAGACACTGACAGCAAGGGAAGCTTATGGCTGCAAAGAGTGAGAAAAAAGCCAAGGGAGAACTGTAGACATCCAACTTTCTTGCATTATCTTGAAGCAAAGAATAATCACAAGGAGTATGGTAGTGGTCTGTTCTGCTACAGAGTGAGTCATTGCTTCTTGCTGTCAGGTTGTGTTTTGCTGATTGACTCACCAGCTGGATCTTTGTTCCTTGCTTTGGCCTTCCTATGCTTATCTCATCCATGTCATCAGAACTCTTTATGGTTTAAAAATCATATAGAGAAGTCTTCATTCCCTTCGCCCTGGCTCCAAGGCCAGCAAAAACATTACAAAAATGTTGCTGGAAAGTGAAGTAAAATTTTGAGAGTTTCAGCCAAAACAACTGCAAACAAATGAACAGTGCTGGGCAAAACTTATCCCTAAGGGGGCAGCGCTATTTGCAATCTTATCTAAATGTGTGGAATTTTAGGTGTAGAAAGCAGGTCAGTCTGCAATCCATTCCTCTGTGCCTTAAAGCAACTTAACTGTGACAAACATCTGACCACCAGCTAAAAGGGCTCTCTTTGAAATCTGCATTCTTGACAAAATAGTCTATCTGAAACAAAATCTGTCACTGCCTGCACTGCTTTTACATCTTCATCTTCCTTTCCACACAAGACATCTCAGCAACTACTTCTCTGTAACCTTTAAAAAAAGTCCTCCTGCTATGTATCCTTTCCTTTAGCAACGTTTTCAGTGGAAAGGAATAAAGAGATTCTCCTGATTCTGAGACTTATTGTGACCATCTTCAGTCCTCTGGACTGCAATGAACTCCTGCATTATTCAAAGAGCAAGAAGAGAGTCACAGATCTGGAAAATATGGTGCAAGTCCTAGTCCAGCCCTCTATTCAACAGCAAAGTGAGCTGTACCTTTGCCCTTCCCAGCAAGCATTTGCATAGTGAGTCTCCTCAAAACCTACAATTCAGGAGATCCTTCAATCTGCTTGAACAAGAATTCCTGTCTTTCTCAGACATTCCCATTAAAAAGCTATCTCTAAGCCACACTCTAACCTACACTTAACTAACCTAGAAGAGAACAAAATAGCAAAGCAGGAGACTAGAAGAACAGCAGAGAATGTTCCTTTCTGGGAATGAATGCCTATGCTGCTCCATTGTCTTGTAATTTGACCACTGACAAAATGATTAATGTGAAACAAATATCCACCAAATGGAAAAATGGAGCCATAGTTAATCTTCAGATTAACTCAAAGTGAATTAAGAACAGAAGTACCTACAAAACCAGAGAAATAATGAACAATGATGAAGAAACCTGGAGAAATCTGTTCACTTAAGACAGTTAAGAGCTCAAAAGTATTAGAAAACTAATTAGCAGGGGCTAGGAGAGTAGAGTTTCACTCTGCGAGCATATTAGATAACTTGACTTTTGCTCTAACAAATTCCTACACAGAAGAATGTATTTTAAGGGTACTTGTGGCTTTTAGCACAGACCCCTGTGCTCAAAGGCCATGAATTATTGTCCTTCAGGATTGCAACTTTCCATTCTCTGTATTAATTTGGACTAAAAATTGCCAATATTCCTGAAAGACAAATACTTAGTTGTGTCTTGCTGCTCGAAAACCATTTCCTTTCTGTTCTGGGAGACACCTGGATGCTACCCTGACTTAAAACTGTTGCATCTTGCAGCTCCTACCTGTATACTTCCCCCCTGCTGCTTTTTCCAACTTTTTCCTCCAACTGTGCTACGCCTAGTGCCCAAAATAAGAATTCAGAGAACAGTCCATCACCAGAAGAAAGGGAACAGCATCTGCCCAGTTCTGCTCTGCAGTTTCCTGTTGGTGACAATGCTGAGTGTTGGGGAATCCATTCAGTGCAGGTTGCTCAGGGTGCAGCTGCAGGCTGAGCTCTGGGTGGGAGCTGGGTGAAATGCCCACCCAGTGCACAACAAAGGGCCCAGAGAGCTGTGGCCTGGCCAGGGAACCAGATACTTGGAGACACAGGAGGAGCCAAGGACTGTGGACTTTCCCACACCTAGGTTGTGAGGGTATAAAAGCCCAAGGTGTCCTTTCTTTGGGGTCCCTCCTTGGAGGCACTGGCTTGAGCTGATATTTTGTTGTTGCACCATGATTGAATTATTTTAAGGATTGAGATGTCTGAGGCTCTGTGATGGTAAGGAAATCCGGTGTGACTGTGGTGTGGGGGATGCAGCTGTGAAGTGGCCTTGATCCTGGCCCCAGTGGTGCAGATATAACTGCTGGAGTAGCTCTGGGATGGTCAGACAGGGAAGTCTCCTTAGCACTGAGGAACAGCCTGAGCAGGTGGGTTTTTAAGTGACTGTGGTGGAGAACAGCCAGAAACCAGGAAAGAAAGCCAGATGATTCTTTGGGAGATTCTCTTGCCCCAGTGTTAAGCAAGTTAAACCAGACTCCATGGCTTTCATTGCTTCAGGCAAAATCTGTGCAGGTCTGACTCTCTTGTTCTCAGGGCTTGAACGAAAAGCGTGTTTTTAATTTCTATTTCCTCCCAAGGAATAGCTGTGGGAAAACTCAATCTGAAAGACAGTGAAACTCATGAGTACTTTATGACCAATAGGAAACTGCCTTCAGAATTTCTTAAACACCAGAGAAGCCTGGTATCCTGTTGGGTTGATGTGTAAGTACATCTTAGTAGTGATAACTAAGTACTTGCTACAGAACAGTGTTAGTGCTTGCATAAACTCATGCGAATACTTGCCCACCCAGACACCTTCAACCTGAATGTGAAGAAAGATAATTTCTCAGGAAAATAACACCAGAAATATATTACTTCTTATAAGTAGGTTACTAAGTAGGTTGCTTTCTCCCTGCTGTCTATGCCTTGCTGAAGCAATATAAGACAATGATCAGATGTCCTCAGAGACACTGACAAAAATGGGGAGTAATGAGAAGTTCTGGGCTGAACTTAGGATATAGTTTAGCACAGGACTAAATCAGTGGGCTGTCTATAGCAGTATAATTTCTACTACAAAAACTGTATATTGCATTCATTGGTGCCACTTCAGAAGTCAAAACAAAATTCTTAGAATTTATTTTTTTACAGGTGAAAAACCCCTCTAAAATCACCTCCTTTGTTTCTAGGAGTTTGCTTTGTTTTTTTATAACTACTTAGATTTTTTTTTTACATCTTTGTATGCATTGAAAATTGTGACATCTTTCTGGACTCCTAGGGATATAGGAAAATTCAATATTCCAAAACAGGTCCCCTAATTATATGAACTGGTTGCAACAGACAGTAATGTGATTCATCATGAGTGAAATTGATGCTGCCACTGGGAGTGGCAATGGTTTTATATCCCATTGCTCCAGAAACTCCACCAAGAAGTTCGTCTGTCAAGTTGACACCGTCAGTCCTGAGGAGAAGGTAAATATCTCCATGATCTTTAATTCTAAATGACAGAATTAGGATCTAAGGATCAATATGTCCATTTGTAACATACATACCTCCTTTGCACATATATATGGCATGTGACATATTTTGAGGAATTGACAATATTTCCGAATTGCTGTGCAATGTTTTGGATTACATTAAAATGTATGGGCTGTGTAATGAATCTGTGCTTAACTTGTACTTCTAAACTTCTACTTTCCAAATGTGCTTCTAAAGAAGATTAAAACCATTTGCCACTTCTTTTGTATGACCCAGAATGGTAATTTATAAGAGCATAGTCTTTCTATAATGCTCTAACTTTCAAATGTTTATATGTGTAATAGGGGAAATATACTTACTACATGTGTGGAGGAAATTATTCAGACTCGGTAAGAATTAAACCAAATGTGACTTAGAATAGTGGAACTTCTAAAATACTGATCTTATGGTCAGGTGCTTCTGTAACACTTTACTCGATGCAGACACTGGAAAAAGTCTTTAGTGAGAAAGGAACTCTGTTCCTGGTCTAAGACATGAAGAGTTTTGCAGAACATTCAAGATGACCTGCTTGTAGTAATAGTGATTGTAACAGAAGTGTATCTGGGAAAAAGAGTTTAAGCTGCAGGAAAAAGAGTTTAAGCTTCAGATAAAAAAATATATCTGGAATTTTCTACTAATGCACAATGTATTTCTGTTCAAAATCTTACTAAGTGAGCCTGTCTGTAGTTCCTTTTTCTGTCAAACATTTGTTAAGCAACCGGCCTTGGAAGGACAGTGTGTCAGGCGCAGCTGAACTATGCAAAGTTTTCAGAGATAAACAAAGAGTAAGATATGATCAAGGGTGTAATTAATGAGCTATGCCTGGAGGACTCAAGGCAAAAAGATCAGGATATAAACTGAACTGGAAGTTTGTTTAAGACAAAGTTAGGGCTAAGTGGCAAAGCCATAGCTATTGCATTAGCTGGAGAAGCAGCTCAACTCAGAATAATATTTCTGCAAATGTGTTTCTTCTGCTGTTCAGGGATGCTGGTTCTCAGATTCACTGTGAAATCCCAAATGTAATGAACAGGGAATTTCCATGAAGTACTGAATAATTCAGCCAAGCTGTTGCAATAAATCTTAGCAGGGCATCTAAATAAAACAGGTGTAAGGATGAGAAATCAAAATAATTTTTACCCTTGTTTCAGGTGATCACAGTGCCAAAATGTGCTCTCTCAGCGCAGCCAATGCCAGGTTCTGTCTTGACTTTTTCAGAGAGCTGAACAAAAGAAAAAGAAATGAAAACATCTTCTTCTCCCCACTAAGCCTGTCAGCTGCCTTTGGAATGGTTGTCCTTGGAGCCAGGGGCAGCACACTCGAGCAGATTGAGAAGGTAGGCCCTTGCTCTGAAAAGGGAACGATGAGCAAGGTATGAGCCAAGAGGCTGATTGCTCCCTCTGACACAGTTCCTAAACATCCAAAGGACTGATGTATGCAGAGAGCCCTTTAAAAATACACTATGCTGTTCTCAACACCAAACTTCTTCAGGCTAAGCATTATTATTGAATGGACTGTTCGATGGATACATCAGAGCTAAAGAAAGTGTTTTGGAGGTATCCCTGCACTCTCAGAGCTCAGAAGAGTACCTTCCCTTTAATGTGGTTTTCTGCTTTCTCTGGACACCCAAAGCCCCCCCTTCTCATGCAGAAAGATTTCAAAGATTTCACGCACTCACCATTCTCCTAAAACTACTTGTTCACTTGCTAGGATTTTATGGTAAAGAACAAAGGGGCCTTTCTGCAGGGACTGTGTCTGCCTGTGTTTTGGGATAGGCTTGCAACATGGCTTTGGCTTTGAAGTACCTTCACTCAGCTGCATTCACCCAATATTTACATTGCAGGTCTTTCATTTCAGAGAAGTTTTGAGCAGTACAAGACAAGGATACCCATCTGGAGAGGTAAGACACAATTGCAGCTCTGAGCTGAATCAACAGGAGCCAGTTTTTCAGCCTTTTTCCTTGAAGACAATCACTTAATCAGAAAGCACAGCAGGGCTGATCAGCCTCTCCATCTAGATTTGCAGACCTGCTTATTATTGTTCCTTTATTAGTTATTTAAGGGGCCTTGTGAGATCACACATTTCAACAGCTGAGCCTTCTCATTATGGGTTTCTAACCAAAACAGCAGAGCCAATCTAAAATGTGGTAAGGGCTTCAATTGCCACCTGCAAAGGTTTGACTACAGAGCATGCCAAAGGCACCTTGGAGCTTGCTTCTCCCAGTCTCTAAGCCAGAAGCCTTTTGCTTAGTGTGCACAGAGGCATCTCTGTCGGATACAGCGTGGTTCAGAGGTGAGCTGGTGCGGGCCTGAGGGGGAACAGTTTTGTCATTCTGTACATGTGGCACAGGGGGAATAGGAGGTGGTGTCCTGGTGTGTTTATTCCAGTGCCTGTATCAGCTGGGTGGAGTAGGGTTTCTCATGCAGAGAGAGGCTGCAATTCACCCTCAGGTCCAACTTTGCATAGGAAAGCTCAAGCCTACCACGAAACATCTGTTTTCCTGTTTGAAGTGTGAAGAAGATGAAGGAGTCCATTCCCAGTTCCAGGCTCTGTTGGCTGAAGTCAGTGAACCTGGACCAGGCTGTTGTCTCACCATTGCCAACAGGCTCTTTGGAGAAATTACTTACCCGTTCTTCCAGGTAACTGACCATGGTCTCCCTTGTAACAGGGAGTGGGGACTCAGCAGAATGTTTTCCAACATAAAGCACAAAGGGACATATACCTTTTTTTTTTTTTCTAATTTCTTTCTTGCTGATCTACTACATGGAACTATCCTGAAGCCATGAAATTATCTATCTTATAAAAATCACCCCATTGCAATAAACTTCTGCAATTTGTACTTTCCAGCGGTACTTGGATTCCACAAAAAAATTCTATCGAGCAGAACTGGAACCAGTAAACTTTAAATACACTGAAGAAGAAGTCAGAGACAAAATTAACTTCTGGGTTGAAAATGAGACAAAAGGTAAAGAAAAAAATGTGCAGATTTTTTGATTTGCAATTGAACCACTTAGGAAGATCACTCTCTACATTTTTCCAAAGATTGGAAGATTTTTATATATTAAACATCTGAACTATTTTTTTTTCTTTTCAATAAGAAATAAATGTAGTAAGGGGAACAAAAATGCCTCGAGTTCATTGGTTCCAAAGCTGTACATAAATATTTGTCATTTGTCTGACAGCATTATGCCACTTGTGAATTTAAAAGAAATAACTATTAATAGTCAAAGTTAGCTGATTTCCACAACAAAGTAATAATTCTTCTTAATTCATTATTTTTATAGGTAAAATCAAAGACCTATTTGCTGCTGGTTTTATTGATCCCTCTACTGTACTCGTCCTGGTCAATGCTATATATTTTAAAGGAAAGTGGGCAGTAGAATTTAAGAAAGAAGACACTAAGGAAATGTATTTCCACCTGAACAAGGTACAGTATAGGCAGGAACTGAAGCAGCTGGGGGATGGAGGTCAGATTTCTGTCTCCTGTAATAACAGATTTTCTCCTCCCTGTTATCCCAAGACAAAACAATGGTCTTAAGTGAGAACAATAGAAGGCTGTATTTTTCTCAGTTTTCCTAACCAAATATATAAATGTTTGTACCAATTCACATCAGAGGTGGTTCTTTTGCAGCTGAGATCCTTGTTGGACCAAATCCACTGGGCACATGCACTTTGTTGGGGATTTTGCAACTAAGGGGTGCTGTTTCAAAAATAGTCTGCTCTTGAGATTGAAACTCAAGATTCTGTTTCTCTGCTACTATTTACGAACAGAACAGTGTGTGCTTTTGGGAAAAAAATGTATTAAAGACCAATTATGCCAGGGGAATGTATACATTATTCATGAAGAATTTAATTTATGGTTGCATAAGTCGTATCTGTTTCCTCATCTGACACACCAGAAAAAAGAAAGATGTAATGAGGAAGTTGTGAGCAAAGTAATTTGGCATCATTAGAAAAGGAAATGCAGTTTTTACGCTTCAAAAATAGATAACTTCATGGGGACTACAGCTGAGTGGAACACATCAATGCTACAAGTACTTTAAATGTATAACCAGTTAAAATAATGCTTTTGAGCTGAACTCTAACCTCAGTGCTGAACCCAATTAAAACCAGGGTGATAATTTCTGTATTTTCCATTTAATATGTTTCATGTGTTCCAGAATGAGAGAAGGAAAGTGCAGATGATGTTTCAAGAAGGAAATTTTAACATGACCATCATAGAGGAACTGAAAACAAAAATCATAGAGCTCCAGTACTTCAATAATGAAATGAGCATGTTCATTCTTCTTCCTGAAGATGACTGTGAGGACTTTACTGGCCTAGAACAGGTAATACTTAATTTTCTCTCTAGTAACATACATAGAGAGCAATACTTTAGCATTGCTCCGGTGTGGTCAGAAGACAAGTGGGAAAAACTGAACTTCCTTTCCTGTCATTCATTATGGTGCCAATCATAACTCCCAATACCACCTTACAGCTTGAATGTGCCCTCACCTACGAAAAACTAGCAGAATGGACCAGCTTGGCTACGATGCAACCAGTGAGAGTGAAGGTGTACCTGCCCCAGTTCAAGATGGAGGAAAGTTATGTTCTCAACAGCACTCTCCAAGAGATGGGAGTAATGAATGTTTTTGAGTGGGGAAAAGCTGATTTGTCAGGAATCTCTATGAAAGATGGCTTGGTTGTGTCCCAGGCCATCCAGAAGACAATTGTGGAAGTGACTGAAGAGGGCACCGAAGCTGGTTGTTCCATGGGACTTCTTGCAATGCCTCTGTGTTGCCCAGAGACTTATGAGTTCAAAGCTGACCGTCCATTCCTCTTCTTCATCAGACACAACCAAACCAACACCATTCTCTTCTTTGGAAGATATTCTTCTCCTTAAGTGGAGGTTATATTGGAAATAAGATATTTCTCCCCACTTACATCCCAACTGGCAAGCAATAAGGATAAAACACAAAACAAAAGACATTTCTCTAGGCTTTTACCTAAAGTCTAGTTTGCTGTAAATAAAAAGACTATCTGAGAAGACCCAAATTAAAGATAAAACCCTAAACCCCGTGAATCTTAGGCATACTTTTAGGAGGCCTCATCAAAATGACATCTACCTTAAATACACTATGAGGTATTTGCCAAAAAAGCTGTAGTCCTCTAGAGGGCTCTGCAGAGAAAATTTTACTTTGAGCCTTTCCTAATGCACTATTGCTCCAATAAACCCATGACTTTAATGCCCTGAAGATAAGTGATGCATTCTCGTCCATGAAGTAGACAGGAGGATAGAGATTTGAATTAAAAGCATAACCTCAGGTACCTGGTCTCTTTTAGCCTTACCTACCTAAGGTCTCAAGGAAAATATCACTTTATAGGGGAGCAGAAAAATATTCCCCTAGGGCTTCCTATTAAATATTGATTGGGGGCAGTGTTTCAAACTGGAGCTCCCCGGGTTTATTCTCAGAGAGCAGAGAAGACAGAATATTTTCTGGTGTAATTTTGCTTGTTCTCAAGAAGGGCAGACCCATTGCTTATTTTTATTTTTTTTTTCTTTTTTCTGTAAAAAGCCCTATATGTGTGAGCAAGTTCTCCAACTTCTCATAAATTTTCACATAACAAAACCAGGGTTTCAGAATAATGGAACAATTGTCTGACAAGGCCTTCTCTGTGATGGCTGGGAACAAGACACATAATTCCCACATTAAACTTTGAGTAGTGATCAGCTACTAGATTCTCTCTTCTAAGAGTCAGCTCTGTTTGGGCCTCAGGCAGAATGAGTTTCTTGTTCCAGCTATTTTATTCATCCTTAACATAAAAAAATTAAAAAATCTATAGTGATGGTTTTTAGATGGATAATCTGTGTTTATTATTTATTATTATTGTTACTATTTATCATGATAAACCCACTGCAAACTAAATATTAAATGTAGTAGTCTGCAGAATTAAGTGAACAGAGGAATAGTCTAATATAGTAAGTAAAAATAATGGTAATCCTTTCAAAAAATCTAAATGACACTGAAGTCTACCTCCCACTTTTAAATATTCACCATGCTGAGTTTAGGCACTGGACAATTCAACATTAGGGAACATAAACTCTGAATCTGCTCCCTCCTTTACATGACCACTATTAGATGCCTGACTTGGGGATGGACAGTTCTCTGGGAAGCAAATCAAAAGGAAAATTTCTGGTAAAGCCAATTTTCTTGCTTATGATCTAGTTCCCTAAACCACCTCCTGGATGTTGTGGGGTAGGTGGTGGGAAGGAATAGCACAGGGTCACAAGAAGGGAGCAGCCTGGCCAGTCTAGCAGTAGGTAACATCCAAAATCCACAGATGCATGAAGAATACTTGCTTTTATGGGAAAAATATTCCACTCTTTGATGACTCACTTCTCCTTGCCCTGTTACTCACTGATGGGAAGAGGGTAAACACTGTGAGCATACTGGTGCCATTGTAGAACTGATGATTCAAAGGGCTCTTCCAAATGCTGAGATATGCAGGAAAAATTAGAGTAAATTACAGTACTCAACACAAATTGGATTGCTAAATAAAGCAAACCCATTATAGTCTGCAGATACCCTATATAGTTGCAATTGCAGTATGAAATACAGCTTGAAATAGTAAAATTACCTGTCAAGACACAGTTTTCATACCAATTAGCTGGTAAGAGAACATGAAACACAGTCTGTTAGTTCTTTGATAAATAAAGTATGCAAAAAACAGCTACACATATTTTTCAACAACTGCAATTGGAATTTTGTATATACCTGGTTTGTCTCCAATTAAAATTACTTAGGTTAAAAGAAAAAAAACAACAAAGAAAAGCAACAAAATATAGTATAAATTATAATAAAAAAACCCTATCTCCTCCTTATGCAATCTTTTTTCCTTATTGCCATTTTATTCTATAAGACATCAAATAATGTAGTGAAAAACACCAGAAGCTGGAAAGTAACCTCCTGCTGCTAGTGTAGTGGCAGCAGCTCCTACTGTGGAGGGCAGTGCTCCCACAAAATCGGGAATGTTTACCTAAAAACAGAAGGTGAGCCCTCCACTCTGGCAGCAAATGCTTCTCCTGTGTTTTACAAACTGTAGTTTGTAAAAGTTCACTGCCAAGCAATAGAGCTTGCAGAGCAGAGAAAAGTTGGAAGCTCCAAACGGTGCCTGGAGCAGACATAGCCTTGAAGGGCATTCCACTGCCTCCTCCCCAGGGACAGGCTTGATGCCAAGTGTTGAACCACGCCAGCATACATGACAGCCTACAAAAGTGTAGACTGGCAAAAAGCAAAGAAAAAGATGTCAAATAGTATCTGCATGAGGGTCCATGGAAAGGTAACACACATTTGTCCCACAATAGAAAGATGTGTGTCTTTCCACAGTCTGATTACTAACTCTTTCCATATTCACATTTCCACTGAACTCTGCTCTCTTTGATGGTTGCAGTTCTCCTCAGTTTTCTCTGAAACTGTGCTTTCCTTTAAACGGTTTCTTAGTACCTATGTATAACATTATTTTTATTATATCTTCAAAAGCTTTGCAATGGATAGGATAGAAGGGCAGCAAAGGAAGATTTTAGGATTGTCACTGAAAAAGCCAAAGATTGCAGCTTTGAGTCACACTCCCCAGCACCCCCCTCTTCCCACCCCTGGCTTAATGAAGAAACTAATGTTTATTTCCCTCAAAATATAACTGGTATAAATTTTTACAGTTTTACAGGAAGTCCTGGTTCCTTATGATCCCAGAAGAGAAAGGCACTCAGGCACAGTAAAGTGTGCAGTCTGTGGGATGCAGTTGGACAGGCCATCAAAAGCACAAGCAAACATTACTCTCAAACATTCCCAACAGTTCCTGAGTAACCAGAAGAAATTAAATGTGAAAATAAGAACAGAGAAATCTTGGAAAGAGCTGCTTTGGTCTGGATTAGAAAGAGCTTCTTGGTCTCCTTTTTTATGACAACATCAGGGAAGAAGGGCAAACACCATGTACTGGTCTAGGCACAAATGGCAGCAGAATCACATCTTTTTTGGGGCAAACATGGAAAACTGATTTTAACTTGTTTGTCTAGCTATGTTTGCAGTACTCCACTTGTACCTTTTGAATTTCAGGAGAAACATATGTTTTCCCCAGCTCCAATGCCCCAAGGAGGCAAAGTTACAAAAAAGCAGGTGTCTGTTGGTGACTGCCCATGCTGATCAAAATTTGCAGCTGCTCCCAGGCTGATTCTGCAACCACTTTTGCACTAACTGTTGAAGTATTAAAAACCTCCAGATTTAACCCAAGGGCTTGCAGCTGCAGACTACTCTCTGGAGAAGTTGTACTGCCCCATCCATGATTACTGTGAGAACCAAACTTTCTTTCTTCCATGAACTTCTCTACTCTGGATGTTTTAAGCCATCTTGCCTGTCCTGGCAAAGTAGTTTTTGGCATTAGGGTAGCTTACATAATATGGAAACAGAGTGGTTTCAGATGTTCAATCACTGTACTTGTGCATAGAAACAGTTGCAGTGAGCGTGCTGCATATGTAGACATATGAAATGTAGAGTGTACAAAGAAGGCAAATATAGTACCTGGAAGAAGAAAACAGAAACATTTGCATGCCCTTTTCCAGAAGACTTGGTGTAACAAAATGCTTTTTGAGGAAATCTTGGACATTATGCAAAGAAATGGCCTTTTTAGCAGGGACAGTTCTGTCCTTCCTGGACAATTTCCACAGGGGTCCACACAAACAAACTGAACCATAGCATACAAAGGACTGTGTGTGCCCAGGAAAATTCTTCATGGGAACCTCAAAGATGTGCTTGAGCTGAGTGATAGCTGGAACTCTAATATGAATATGTGAAAATGGTTGAATAAGAAAAGTCATATACATAACAGCTCTTTTCACCCAAAACCTGTGCTCTCATTTAGTAATGGTTTGATAAGTATGGGTAAAGTAAAAGCTACAACAGCCCAGCTCACAGAACAGGGAGCATGGAACAAAGTGAGAGGAAAGCTCCTTCCTATCTTCAGATTTTCCCATCCTCATCGCTGCTCTAATATCCTAATTCTGAATTAGGAAACTAAAAGCCACTCCAATTATCAGGCTCTGCACATACATCCTTCCATTTCATCAAGGCAAACAACACTGTTAAGGGTAAAGTAGCTCCCCTTCCTTTTCACAGAGGGGGCACCTACTGCTGTATGCTCTGTGACTTAATAGGTGCAAATTTGGATTTCTGTTATCCACCCCTATGACCTTTGCAGATGCCAGATTTGTTTCTTTATTTCTCCGCAAGTCTATTATTTAATAAAAAGTAATAGCTTTTTACAATTGAATTATATTTTATATTGTGCATTATGGTTGCCTAACAGACCATGAATGTTATTGTAGATTCTGTAGTTTATTCACCTGCCATAGTTACAAGGTATGGAAGATCTATGGGAATGGCCTGTGAAAGTACCATTGGTCTTGTTGCCATGACCTGCACAGAATGAAAATTAAAATCTGACTCTTAGTCATTCTTTAAATACCACTGACTGGTTTAAATAAATTTCTGAATACCTGAATACTCTTGTGTGAGACTTACAGCCCAGGAAATATGTAATTCCTGACCGTTCTCAAATCTCTTCCTCTTCCATGCCCATCTTCAGGCCTCTAGGTCATCTCAACATCGTTGCTCAAAAAAATGCTTTTATCAAAATGAGGTTTTAAAAAAATGTGCTTTCTCTTCAGAGTCCTTCTCCCCTCCTCCTGCATGCCTCTGCTGTAGACCCTTGTAGTCTGGGCTCAGGTAAAATACTGTAGTCTCACCTAGGCAGAGAAATGAATGTGGCTGTCCTTTAAACAACTACAAGCCATACACCACACCAGTCCCTGCACTCCAGGAATGTATTTCTGCATTTTGTCAGACCAAAACACCTTTCAGTCTTGAAAACTAGGCAGAAAGTTTTGAGTTTGTTCTAACATAAAAAACCCACTTCAAACCCCTCTCAATAGAATAAGCATGCTGCAGCTGGCTTTGCTTGGAATTACATTATTTTGGCAAGGTCAGACGGCCACCATTCTTGAGGAACTTCCCTCTGTTCCACTGCACAGATGTTGCAGTGCGTTTTTGTGTTATCTACCAGACCTTCAACAGTTAGCCCAGCATCCACCTTTCCCTTCATGATTGGTGGGAGTACTGTGTTAGAGTGCCTTCAGCACTGACAGTGCCTCACCGCTGAGAAGAGAAAGTTACAGCAGAAGCTTAAATACTTAATTTTAAAATCAGGTTTTACTTCAATAAATAAATAAAAGTTGACTTGCTGCAGATAGAATAGCAGCTTAACATTGGTCTGCTCAATGTTTCAATGCGATGAATCAAGAGGTCGTGACAAAAGGCAGTGACTGAAAAGATGACTCCTTGAAGGCAACAGTGGGAGTGTCTCAAATCGTGCAATATATATCACCAACAGCTCAGGGAGCTGTTTAGGTTCAGCTGGCAAGCTGGATTATTACATGCCTCTTTGAAGTTTGTGGGGTAAGTATTTCTCCAAGAAAATGTAATTTCTAATTTGTATTCTTTTAGATGGAAAAAAAAAAAAAGATATTATGTTTAAGACAGGTATGTAAAAACACAGCATATGCAGTAATTTTGCCTTGCCTTCTCAATATATCCTATAGTGTTTGACTGTCAAATACTTTTAGGTGTGCAAAATATATGGCTTGTGCACCACATCACTGAGTAGAAAGAGTTATTTTTCATTTAAAGCCTGTTGTAACATCAAAACTATCCTTTTATAATTTTAATAATTGTGAATAAAGGCATTTCTCTTTTCTCAGTCCTACTCCCTGACAAAACCCATATATTATATATATGTATATATTTATATAATTTATATATATATGTAGATATAGATATAGGTATAGGTGTAGATATTGATATAGATATATGCATGATTGTGCTAAAAAGCATCAGCAGAGATTAAATGTCTGAAACAGGACCACAGGAAAACCCTAAATTTACATGTCAGCATCTAAGCAGCTGTCTTACAGAACAACTTACTCTTATTATTGCCATAAATTACAGAAAAGCAACCTCCAAATTTGTGGCTGATTGTACTAAGAAGTACACAAAGACTGTAATGGGTTGTCTAAATATGATTTAAAGATCAAGAGCAGCCAGAGAAGAAATTAAATATTAAGTTTGCATTGCCTCAAACACCATTCAGAGCCCTCTGGATGGACATAGGGAAGCTCATTCATTCAATGTTATATTTATTATATTGAAGGGTGGATGAAATTTTCTATTTCCTAAAAGGCAAGTACAAGGTACTATCTTGCTGCCAGTATCTTGTTGAAAGAAAACAAACACACCTTCTTATGTAAATGGATCAGCAGTTACAATATTTCTAATGATCACAGAATTTGAAGGCTTCACATCATTCACTGGTTCAGCATCACAAAACCAGCAATGAACTGGAAGTTTCTGGGCTATTGGCAGTACTTTTTAAAACAAGTACTACACATTGTGACCCTAAAGTCGTATTTCTGTTTGCTTTAGGTAACGCTGATTTCACAATGGGCTCCATCAGTGAAGCAAATGCAGAATTTTGTTTTGATGCATTCAAAGAGTTGAAATTTCACCATCCCAACGACAACATCTTTTATTGCCCCCTGAGCATGATTGCAGCCTTGGCCATGGTCTATCTGGGAGCAAGAAATAACACTGAGGATCAGATGGAGAAGGTAAGTTACATAAATGGGTACAAACTCTCTTTGATCCTATTCAAAGAGGCAGAAGATTGTCCATTTATATCTTCCAAACCCGCCTAGCCAAATAATGGCTTTCCAAATTCTGGAATTCCTTTTCACTTATTGCATCTCCCCAGGAAGGGCAAGAACAGCCTTTGGTTTTCATTACGGAAGAGCAGTTTTGGAGGATGGTTAAGGCAGGTCTCTTGCTTCAGCTTATATTATCTCAGAGACCTGATTCCTTCCAGGTGGAAAGGACAACTCAAAACATACAAAAGATGAAATGTTTGGAAAACAAGAGTCATAGTTACAAATACAATTCCTTAAGGCTGTAGCTGATTTTCGGACATTGCCATTAACTGGAAAAGAAGGGATTTAAGCTGAAGATCACATTCACAAATTTTCAGTGTGATGCCTGGTTGAAAGCTCACATGAAATTTTTCAGTTCATCTATGTGCTAATCAGACTTGGATAGTGAAAACCTACAGTTTTAGCACAAACATCAGTGACTGTCAGTGGACTTCACATTCTTAATTTCTACTTTCAATTGCAGGTTCTTCACTTTGACAAAATTGCAGGACTTGGAAGTATCCAGACCAAGGTACAGAAGTCTAAGGTACATTGATTTATCTTTCACATCCTTTTCCTGAGAATAGACTGTTCTGATTTGTGCTTTTAGCAGTTTCAACACCTTGCCAAACCTTTGCTAATTCTCTTAATTTAAGAGATGTAAGTTAAAAAAATCATACAACAAACCACTAAATCCCAAAGAACAACAGCGACAAAACAAATGCCAAGCAAACAACCACCAGCAAAAGAAACTAACAAAAAAATAAACCCCGAAACACCACCAGAATAAGAAGACAGGCTGCACATATTGCAAGTGGTAGGACAGGGTGCTTTGGGCATCAGGATACACTTTAGTGTAAATGAGCTCCACACCTGCAAATGCTGCTGGGGTGCAGCACTTTAAAGGGTCTCAGTACCTGAAGCCAGGGTACAGTAGACAGACTTGCAGCTGAGACTCCAAAGTGGGACAGGAAGATGCCTCAGTAGAAAAAAGCCCAGAATCCTCAAAGGATGGAAAGTAACCACACTCTTACAAAGCTACAGGAATTTTTCCAGCCTCCAATTCCCACTGCTACCTCAATAGAACCATGAAGGGTACCAGTACCTCGATACCACCTGTGTGCTTCTATCCATGTTAATCTACTGCCTCTGTAAAGATAACAAAAGCCAAGGAACCTGGTCTGTCCCCATTCACTTGGCATCCAAAACACAAGGGGGGACTTAAAAAAGATGAAACTTTTTTTTTTTTAAATTTAAATAAAGGTAGTATATCTAAAGCTAGAGCATTTAGGGACTGATTAAGCATTTAGAAAGCAACTGTTCAACAGAGTTGAAATAAAGCCCCACCTACTGTTTATCATCGTGCAGTTTTCTTAAATGCTTTTAGCCTTTGTCGCTACTGGGACTTGAGAGAGGTGATCCATTTTTTCTCTGTATTACAAAACACTTCCTGACTCCCTTCCCATCTAGCTCTCTTCCATCTGCAGCTTCTGCAAAAAAAATGCCATGAAAGTGCAAGCAGCACCTGGGAATTAGAGCCTTTGTACCTATGGCAAGTCACCAATTTCAATAATTAACCACTTGGATGAGTGGCATCATAGGCTGTGAGAGAATGATACGCCATTAGCTTCTTATTCTGAACATCCCTCCCATGGAACTCTTAGGTTCTGTTACATGTTCATTTGAAAAGGGTCAAACACTGTGTGTTTTCCCATGTTATTTGTACCTTATAAATGATCCTCTATCTCATAAAATAACCTAACAGCTATACCTTTTTGTCTTCTTATCAACAACTCAGTGTGGCAAGTCTGTGAATATCCATCTGCTGTTTAAAGAAATTCTCTCTGATATCACTGCACCAGAAGCCAATTATTCACTGCACATTGCCAACAGACTTTATGCTGAAAAGACAAGTCAGATCCTACCGGTAAGTGATCTCTTGCTAAACCCTGTAAAATTCTGTAATCCGGGAGAACTGGCCAGAGTAGGTGACCAGTTAATCCAATAGTCCCTACTGGTGTGGATTTACATGGCTTTTCCCTTTGCCATGGCCCTGGCAACAGTCTAAATGTAAAGCATTTTGAGGCAAAAAATATGGCCCTATTAAAAAAATGAATGGAGTAATAAACAAAATTATTAGTAATTGAACTTCTCATTCCCCACTTGCTACCCCAAAACATTTAATTTTAAATGGTTGTTCGGGTTTTTTTCAGAAAATAATTTGATGTTGGCATATCTCTTCACTTGAAAACTCACCTCAAAAACAAATTTTGAAAGTGTCAAAATCTTTCTTTCACATTTTCAAAACAAAAGATACAAATATTCTAAATCAAAGGAACTTCTTATTTTTAAAAATAAGAAAAAATGCTTTAAAAAAAGGAAGAGGACTTAGATGATAAAGCAGTCTAAAATAAACCTGAAAACATGGGGTTTGGATCAGGCTTTCTTCCCAAAATTCTTAAATATATTTTTAATAAATACATTTTTAATATATGCTTTTGACTGGTCACGTAAAGATGTCAGATCTGAAATGGTCATGAAACAAAATAATTTTTCTGATTCAATTTTAGCAAATTCTTTCAGAAAGTAAGCAATGAGAACACCTTAACCATGACAACACTATTTATTAGCCATATTTTATTTCACTTTCACATTGTTTATAAAAAAATGACTAGTTCACTGGCTACAGTTAATTTGTGTCTTTACAGATCTACTTAAAGTGTGTGAAGAAACTGTACAGATCTGGTCTAGAAACGGTCAACTTCAAAACAGCATCAAATCAAGCCAGACAACGCATTAATTCCTGGGTGAAAAATCAGACAAATGGTAAGTCAGACAAGATTATGACATATACTTCTCTCTGACAACTGTATTTTAGCAATTTCTGAAACATTAGAGGAGAAATTTCCTCCTCCTGTCACCATTAGTGGATATTTTCTGTGTAAAGGGATGACTCTATTGCACCTGTGTGGCAGTGATAGAGTGTTTTAAATACATCTGGCAAAGGCAGAGGTGCCACAATATGGACACTTAATATGTACATTTTATATTCACACTTCTTGTGTCTGGAGGGATTAACTCATACAAGATTAGTTCCTGTTTCTCTAGAACATTGGCATCTTTTTACAAGGGTGTACTGAATAGGTAAGAAGTGAGCTTCCAGGGGAGAAAGTAATGCACACTAAGCTGATGGTGGGAAGTAAATGATTCAGAATCTTGTGTGCATTTATTGTGTTGAGGTGGGAGGAAAAACCTAGAGTAAATTGTGAGAAACAAACACACTGAGAAAGAGAAAATCTGTGCTGGTTCTTCCCTCTCCCTTCTTTTCTATATAAATATTTCTTTATCCAAGCATTGATTAGAAATGTTCCTGGGAATCTATAACAGTCTTAAACCTACCTGAATTTCTTGCAGAAATGTCTGGCCAGATGCCAGTCTTTCAGTGTATTATTAAATCAGCCTCATGAACCTTAATTCCATGTGCAGACTTTTGAAGAAGGAAAAGTCAAATGAAGGAGAAATATTTTGATTGACTTCTAAAATGCAAGACTGCTGCTATGAAACTTACCACTCTGTGCCCTATTTCTTTCTTAAAGGACAGATCCAGGAATTCCTTGAACCAAGCTCTGTTAATCCTCAGACTGTGCTGGTCCTTGTGAATGCCATTTACTTCAAAGGGATATGGAAAACTGCATTTAAAGAAGAACACACTTGGGAAGTGCCCTTCAATGTGACTGAGGTGAGGGGCACAGACACAGTTTCTGGCCAGATGTATATTTGTTGTATTTACAGTTCTGTTGTCATTGGCTGATTTATCTGGGTGCCTCACTCTAGAGATTTAGCTGTGTCTGACAGAGCAAACCAACAGATGAGACAAAAATGGAGACACAGCCCTTCTCCAAAGGCAGCATGATTGAAAATTGAGTCCTGTCCTTTCAAAGTACATTTGTCTGACCAAAGAAAAAGATTGCTGCTCCCACATCACATCATCTCATTTTTGTTTTTGCAGCAAGAGAGCAGACCAGTGCAAATGATGTATCAGAACAACACCTTCAAAGTGGCAAGAGTGGCTGAAGACAAAATTAAGATCTTGGAGCTTCCGTACACCAGTGGAGAGCTGAGCCTGTTGGTGCTGCTGCCTGATGACATCTCTGGCCTGGCACAGGTATGGCCTGGCAGGGCAAGCAGAAGAATTATGACTTCAGTGGGCTTGGCTACTGTCAGACTTTTGCTGTCCATTGACGTCCCAGCTTCCCACCCTACGGCTGTGCTGGGCAGGCAGGGGAGCACAAAATCTGTCCAGGTGCTCAGGCAGAGCCTCTTAGGAGAGTCCTGAGCTCAGTTTTATAAAATGAAGGTAAAGCATTGTAGTGCTGCTGCAGCCCTGCAGAAGAAGATGTATATATGGACAATGTTATTAAGATTACCCATCTGTACTCAAGAAAGGAAAAAAAAAACCCTGCAGTTTAAAATATATGAACAATTACATCCATTTCAGTAATATTTTTTAATTATAGAGTTATTACAGATGTAAAAGAGTTTGCATTTGTTAGGTTCTACCAACTGTAGGTAAATTTTCATGGCCTTGTTTTTGCAATCTTTCACAAGCTGACTAATTTTCTCTTCTGTGAAACTGTTGGGTTGTGCCTCATGAGACAGAAGATTACTTAGACAAAGGGGAATGTGTGAAGCTGGTAAAGAACTGAGGAAAAGGAGAGTGACACAGGCAGTACTGGAGAGGCAATTAATAAAATACCAGAAGGATGTAAATAAGATGAGCTTCAGGAACCATTCTGGTTGCAGTTTTACTTTTATGATAGCCTTGACAAAAATGAATGGTAAGAAGAATTTGGATTTACATCCCAGGCATTTCATTTCCTGCCTCTCTTTGCAGCTGGAGAACAAAATCAGCTATGAAAAACTCATGGAGTGGACCAGTTCCAATGTGATGGAAAAGAAGAGGGTGAGAGTGTACCTCCCACGCATGAAGATTGAGGAGAAATATAACCTCACATCTGTCTTGACATCCTTGGGTATGACCGACCTGTTCAGCCCCTCAGCCAACCTCTCTGGCATCTCTTCAGCAGAGAGCCTGAGGATATCTGAGGCCATTCACCAGGCATACGTGGAAGTCACTGAAGAGGGCACTGAGGAGGCTGGGTCAGCAGATGACATAGAAGACATCCAACAGTCCTCTGAGGTTGAAGAGTTCAGGGCTGACCACCCATTCCTTTTCTTGATCAAACACAATCCAAGCAACCTGATACTTTTCTTTGGTAGATATTGTTATCCCTAAAGAGAAAAAGGGCTGGAAATAATGCTTGCCTATCCCTAAGAAACAGACCTCCTTTACTCTAGTATTGTAGTATAATATCATATCTTCAATATTTTCTGCAAGTGGAAAGGCTACTCTAAGTTGTGCCGTTTCCTGAAGCTTCCATAGCAAAGACACACCTGCAGGTGAGGAAGTAGCAGCAGTGTGTTTGCTCCTTTCCCTTCTCAGACTGGTTTCAGTGTTGATTGAGCCAAGCAAAGACTAAGCCCGGAGAGAATACAGACCCTCACAGGCCAGGAAGGGGTCAAATGATTTTCACTTGAAGACACAGTTGCAGACAGGGCTCCAAGTCTTTGGTATTCCATTATGTAGAAAGCCATGGGGTGTTCTCATCCTGTTCCCTGGTACTATCCTGCTAACAAACCCATGCAGTTCCCAAAGCACTGGCTTTGAGATCCCCAGTCTGGAGGAGATGCTTGTGGACAAGATTCTGCTATGCAGGACATTAATTGGTGCCTGCATAAATTTTATTTTTTTACTTCTCTGTTGGGAATGGTGCACATATCCACTATGACCAGAGTGGTTCTCTCACCATGAGGACCTCATGTAATACTGAATTTCTTTCAGAGGTTCTCCAAAGTCATGGGGATTTTCCCTTCTACTTCAGAATGTTCAAGGAGATCTAATTTTGTCTACGTGCTGTGTCTTGTCACAGAGCACAGATCCAAAGCCTGAAACATGGATATCTGGATGATCCAGGACACAGAACTGCCAAGAAAAAGAGTTATATGAATTCTTGTTTAAAACATTGGAAATCTCTTCAAATTTGGGAACATTTTGATTTTTCTGGAAAATCCTGTAAGGGATGTTAAAAAATCTGATTTCTCAATGGGAGTTTTGTGAATAAACACAGCTTTAAAAATAATTTTAAAAAGCTTTAAAAATAATTCTTGTCTCTATTTATCTTGCTTAGCAAGTAAACTTCTATTTCTTCCTGGAAAGCTCTCAGTTGCTCAAAACTCAAGAACATTATTATTCCATGGATATAGCTGGGTTTCTTTGTCCCCATGGTAGTTCAAGACATCTCTTGTTTTCAAGAAATACATGAGAATCCTAATTGTCTCTGTCTTTTTCTTATGTGTCCACTTGTATCTCCAAATATGGATCTATTGGCACAATGTTATGACCTGTTTTCATTCTAATCATATGTTATTGATTTTGATGCACATAATTGATTTTTTCTTTCTTAACACAATAAAGTCACAAGTGCTTGTCATGAAATTATGAGAATTTTCCTAATTTTCTGGGTGACTAACCCTTAAAATATTATCATATTGGTAACTGTTGTGAGCAAAATGGGATTTAGTACAAAATCCTCCAGTTTTTAGTGTGAATAAAGTATGTAGATATGAAGTTTCCTACCCTTTTATGAAATAAATGAATGCACACATCTAGAGTTTGATTCCTCTCTGTAGTACTAATTACCAAGAAATAGTCTAGTGAAATATTAGCTTGTTCTTATGTATTTTTCAATATAATTCCAATGGGTATTAAAGATGTCATATCAGTCAGATAAATATTTCAAGGAAAAACTATTCCAGCAACTCTGCCATTTGAAATGATGAAATCATCTGAAAAATCATATAACTCAAAGGGCATAAGAAAGAATAAGCAGATGGACAGCTTTTAGGCAAAGCATTTCCCCTCTGAAAGTTTTGAGAGCAGGTACTCTGCTGTTAATATCAGCTATTCCAATAATAAGGTACAGGGGAAACCCTGAATGTACATACAGACTGGGCAGTAAGTTGCTGGAGAGCAGTCCCATGGAAAGGGACCTGTGGGTCCTGGTTGATGGCAAGTTGAACACGAGCCAGCAGTGCCCTGGCAGCCAGGAGGAACAACCCTGTCCTGGGGGGCATCAGGCACAGCATGGCCAGCTGGGCACAGGAGGGGATTGTCCTGCTCTGCTCTGAGCTGGAGCGGCCTCACCTCCAGTGCTGGGGGCAGTTCTGGGTGCCACAATATAAAAAAGACAATAAACTCTTGGGGAGCATCCAAAGGAGGTTTATGAGGATGATAAAGGGACTTGAGGGGAAGCTATAGAAGGAGCAGCTGAGATGTTGATTTGTTCAACCTGGAGAAGAAGAGATTGAGTGGGGACCTTATTGCAGCTTACAGCTTCCTCCTTCCTGGTGGGGAAGCAGAGGACTAGGAACTCGTCTCCTCTCTGGTGACTCATAACAGACGCTGAAGGAATATCAGGCATTTGTGTCAGGGTAGGCTTAGGTTAGATACTAGGAAAAGGTTCTTCAACCAGAGGGTGTTTGGGTGCTGGAACAGGCTCCCCAGAGAAGTGGTCACAGCACCAGCCTGACAGAGCTCAAGAAGTGTTTGAACAACAATTTTGGGTACATGCTGGGGTTGTTGTATGCAGGGCCAGAAGTTGGACTTCATGATCCTGATGGGTCCCTTCTAACTCAGGACATTCTATGATTCTATGATTTTATTTCCACATTAACATGTAGCGTGGCATGATGAAAGCAGGTCTGTAGAGGAAAGAAGGTGATCCTACCTATCTGACATCCACGTTATTTGAATATCATCAGGATGTTTGTGATATAGACTCAGTTGTTTTTCAGTGGTAATAGTATATACTATTATGTATAATAGTAGCTATTTCACCTAGTACATTTTAATTCTTTTTCTTTAGAAATTAAAGCAGTCTAAATGGTTCCAAGAGAAGCAAAATTTCAACACCTCGAGGCTTGCCATAAGCAGTTTAATCACTTTCTGCATCTCTTGTAGCCAGAAGCACTTGATCCAGTCTGTTAAATTTAAAAGCCTGTACACTTAAACAATAAGATTTAAAAAAGGTTGCATTTGAAAATTATCCTTACTGTAAATATTAAACTGGAACGTGCTTAAAGTACAAAGATATGTCTCAGTCACCAATGTTGTTTCCTGAACAACAGTAATGGTCAAAATGAAGGAATGGGAAAAAAGCAGAGTGGCACGAGACTCAGGCAAGCTTCCCCTTTCCAAAAAGACAGGAGGCAGTAAAAAGTGCAAATTCAGAAATACTGTACTAAACCTGCAACTTGCTTTAATATTTTTTTTAACAATATCAAAATGCTCCATAAGTTTTTAATGAAAAAAGACAAAAATAAATAAGCCTCGAAAATATCCTTGTTGCAACTGGCATTTTTGTCACAGCCTTCCAAAAGGTTTTCTGAAGAACTGAGACCCTTTCTCTCTTACAGACTTCTGTGCAGTACCAGAAATAAGGCTTAGTAGATAACAAAACAAAATCTGAAACCTTCCACACCTAGTGGTACAAATTGCACCCCTCCAGCAAGCACAAAGAGACATCCAAGGGTCAGCCACTATGAGGTAACTTTTCTCTCTGTTCAGCATGGAAACAATACTTGTCTGTGAAATGTGCCATACATTCCCATTCCAAGTCCTTCATCCACATCACTGTACTTTGCACATTAATGTGTAATAACCCTGCTCTCTCCATCTCCCTTGAGATCTTCCTCTAGATATAATATGCAAGCAGAGAACAGCTGAGACTGGAAGTGACATCTGCTGATTTTCTATTCCAAGCTCCCTCTTTCAATCAGAGTCAGCTACAGCAGGTTACTTGGAATCATGTCCTTCTGGGTTTTGAATATTTCCAAGGATGGAGACACCACAGCTTCCTTGGGCAATGTGGATTTACCTCCCTATCCAAAAGAAAATGTATTTTCTTATGTTTAAATGTAATTTCTGATATTTCAGGTCGCGTTCCTTCTCTCTTGCCTGTTCACAGGAGAAAGTCTAGCTCCATCTTTTTGTTACCCTCCCATCAAGAAGGTTATGTGCACAGATAAGATCCCCCTGCACTTTCTCCTCTCCAGGGTAACAAGCCCTATGTCTCTAAGCCTCTCCTCTCATGACAGACACTTGAATCATTTAATCATCTTCTCTGGTCCTGCTCCTGTATATCCCCATCTCTTTTGTAATGAAAAGCCCATAGCCAGACAGAGCATTCCATCTGTGGTCCCACCAGTGCTGAGCAGAGGGACAGGAAAGCCTCCCTTTACCTGCTGGCAGTCCTTTTTCTAAGGCATTCTCTTGTGCTGTTGACTGTTTTCACCACAAGGACACATTGCTGATTCACGGTCAACTTGGTGTCTGCCAGGCCTCCCAGTTCTTTTTTGCAAAGCTAACATGAGGGCACGGACCCTTGTGCAGTGACATTTCTCTTTTCTGCAGCAGTCTTTTTCCTGCAGGAGACATGACAGGAATATTGTCAAGAATCTCAGTAGGCTGCTCTTCAGAGGAGAGGAAGGCTTTGTGGAAGGAAGTCTGTGTTGAAACAAACCAAGAGATTAGTTTATCCTATTTTGTGCAAAAGAAAAATGCTATTTTTCCTGGGAGTATGTGCCGAGATAAGGGACATGCTGGGCAGATTTCCAGTGAGTGAAGGGAGGTAATGTAACAGGCATGGTGACATGGGCAGTGTTAGTCACAGACCGCCAAAACAGGCTTCTCTGTGGGGAGGGACACTGGTAACTGAGCTCCCATGTGGCACAGCCAGTTAACTGCCCTGACAATGCCAGTGGCCATCTTTCCTGCCCTGTGCTGGAATGTAAGGCCCTCGTTACCTTGCTGCCTCCCTAGGAGCCAGTGAGTATGGCTACACACAGTGTCACCCTAGCTGCTGGCTGGTTCCATGGACTTGAGGGATGAATAAGGGACTTCACGTGTGCTGTGGTGACTGCTAAATGGACAGCTGTGTGTGCTGGTCCAGAATCTGCACAGCCACAGACTCTGGATGTTGTGTGCACTGCTAAGCAGATGCAGTAAGGGTGAGTGACTTGTGACCAAATCCATCACGGGATCCTTCTGAAGATGCCTTCACTGGAGAAATTCACTCTGCCAACACTAAGGTATGCACAGCCCTGTCACAGCCTGAGTGAGCAAGGCAGCACTGAAAGAAAAGATGCCTAGCACTTCAGGATGGCACAAGGCTGCCAATGAAAGATACCAGGTGGGCTAAGAGCTCCTGTCTGAAGGGGCTTGACCAGATACCAAAAGTTTCTTCAGACTGGGGAAAGAACATGGTCCTACAGGACAACTGAGAGAGAAACCATCATTGATTAGTTACAGCACCAAGGTCTGTAGTGGCAGCTAATTGAACAATCACTGGCACTCACTCTGAGTAAGACAAACATGAAACAATCAAAATGCTCCTTTCCACTGACAAAAGAACAGCAGCATAGATGCAAACTAAATCTTGAGCTCTGTATGGGAGGTTGTGATTGGATGAGAGGCTTTGGTCTGTGAGCTGACCTGGACTTCATATCCTTTTGTAAAGGTCCAAATGTCCAAGAGTCTGTTGGTTTAGGGACAGCTCCACAATGAAATGCCTGGCAGAGGAAAGGGCAACTGAGCCTTAGCTGACCTCCTTCTTGGGACAAGCATTGTCAAACAAGGATATGTGGATGAACACATCCTTTTGTGTTTGTGCTGCATTACACAGCTGTGCTGGACAGGGCAGTACATTATCTTCTCTCTGAGGAAGCGTTTCAACTGCAGGAAGCTTTGCTTAATCTCACTGGACTCCATGATTGATATAAAGTTGCTCAGTTCACTATATTCTATTCCTCTCATATTCTTACAATTCTGTGCTGGTAGCTGATCATAATCAAGTTTTTTACTTAGTTGTGGAATGAGTTAGTTGCTTCTGCAACTTGTTTTACATTAATCATTCATTTGACCAATAAAAAATTGAAATGCTAACAAAAACAGTAATCTGGGTTGTGCATTAACACACTTCTCAAGCAGTGGAACTGCCCCTTCTCTACTGTAAACCAAAAAATTTCTTCCATTACTGAATATATTCAACTCAGAAATATTTTGCTAACAACATTAACTCTGTGAGTTGGCTGTTACAAAACACCTGTACCAGCTCATGGGACATCTTTGTAACCACGAAGTTACAGGATGTCTATGATGATACAAATGTGATTCAGGTAGATGGTGCACAAGTACCAAGGTGGCTCACATATGGTGAGCTGAAGCACTGACAATTCGATTGTCAAGGAAAAAGACTCAAGGCATATTCAAACGTTAGAAGTGACAGGGACGAACATACTGGCTAATCCTTGGCCTTCTGAGCAGTCAAGTACACTGCAATGGACCATGGCCACGAGTGTAGAAGGCAGTTTGAACAGAAACAAGGCAGTCTCATGATGGAAAGGCAAAGGGAGTAGCAGCTGCAGGAGCAGCTTGCAGTCTAGGCAGCACTCCCAGCTGCATGATTAAAGGTTCACCCACACAGGCACATGCACTCATTTGACCAGTTGTCCTCCAGCAAGGTGGGACCCTTTTCAGCTAAATGTGACTCACAATAGAGGTGACAAGTTTACACACTGCTCCTGAGAGAGACTATCTCATTCTTTTTGCAGTATATCTGCAGTGATGAGCCACCCAAGCGAGTCAAGGTCTAAAGATCTTTCCTCAAAAACCCTGTTCCTGCATAACAAGGGTTGTAGTAGACTGGCCTGGACCACACACCTTACCATGTAAAGTACCAGTGTGATGTAAATGCACCAGTCCAGACCGATCTCTTCGTGGCTCCTATCGCATGAGCAACTTTAGCTGAATGGGACTATGAAGAACTGTACTAGAGACAAAGTAAAGGACGATTCAGAGGCTCTCCTCTTGTGCAGACAACTAAAATGGTTAAAAAGTCCACCTCTGCTCTCCTGAAGCATAATTTGCTCTAGACAATTTCAGAGCCATTTTGTGTATTGACTTTGGATTTTTGTTTTAAAATTATGTGGCATTTAAGAGGTCAAAGCATTTTCTTTTATTGTCTGTCGATTCTTTTATTTCAAAGGAATTATGCAACTGCTTTCTGCCTGCTATTGTATATTATGACTGTCTTGCAGACCATGAATGTTTCTTCAGCTGGTTTGTTCAGCTGTTGTGCCATGAAGTTGCTTGTGGAAGAATGTAAGAATGGTCTTGCAAGAATGGTCTCTGTATGTACAAAAGGCACATTTTGAACCTAGCGTCTGGTGCTGTGACCTGTGGAAAAGAACAGCACACCTTAAACTACCCTTCAAAATTATAGCGGTGACTTCAAATCCTTTTCTGGTAGCATCTGACTAGGATCTAAATATCCTGATTCCTGAATTTAAAAAGATACAGAAATCTTGTCTTATTTTCTCAACTTCTCTTCCCCTAACACATTTCCCATTAATTCATTTCCCTGTAATTCTTCCCTGTATAGATGTGTTGAAATTGATTTTGAAATTAATTAATATTGACAAATACTCTCACTGAGAGTTTTGTTCCACAGACTGTGACTATGTCTGAGTTCCTTGAGCTATGTTGCTCTGGAATGAAAAACTGAGCTCTGTGAAACACTCTATCTGTAGTCTTTTACAATGCAGCAAGGGACACCAGGCAAATACATATAACTTCTTGCAGAAAAATCTACTTAAATTTTATTAAATTTGGCAATAAACATTGAAAGGATAAGCTCTTTCTTATGTTCCTTGGTGGCAAATTTTCTCCATTCCTTAGGAAGTGCTATGGATTCTGGTGAGAAGAAAGACTGGTGATAATGGCAGTCCAGCCAACAATAGGAGAAAAGTTGCAATAAATACAGCCCTGCATATGCTGATCTTACCAAAATTTGTGAGTTCACAGAATAGTGATTCTGAGATGGATCTGGCCTGTCACTATTCAAGACAGAGGAATATTAAAGAAAATAAGACAAAATTCCTTGCAGACATTCTGAGAGACTGAATTCCTCACCATTCATTTTGTTTTATTTTCATAAGTTATCTTACACTATTTGCTGCCATAACCAAATCATACTTTCTATTCAAGTTCCAATGAATAGCCTTTATTGTTTTTGCTTCAGTCATTTTAATGTTCTCCTGTCTTTTGTGCAGTATGATGAATAAATCTTCCTTTTTGGAAACTCTGAGTTAAAATAATTTCATTCAGGCTTTTTTATTGTTTTGTTTTGTTGGGGTTTTTTTTGTTTTTTGTTTTTTTTTTGTTTCAAAGAATGGACTTATTCCAAGTAAAAGTTCATGTCTGTAATTGAGTTCCATCCATCACTTTATTGGGTAAACACAAAACAGGCAGCACGGGGCGTGTCACAAGATAACACAAGATATATTTCATGGGGTTCGTCAAGTCTGCCCCAAGTACAGCTGAGAAGCTGTGCTCTACCTTTCCCTGGTGAATCTGATAAGGTAAGCATTTCTTTCAATTATGATTTAATTTCTAATCTGCAAGATAAAAACCGATTGTCTTTTACAATACTTACAATTGCATTGATGTAAACTCATGTTTGTGGCCTTCAATATCAGTGAAGAAACTAATTATCACAGGATGCCTTCTGCAGAAAACTTACCTACCTTCAGATGTATCTTCTGTATTATTTTGCTGTTTCACAGTCTGCCATGCATAAAGTCAAAGTATTTGTATTTGTGAACTAATGTATTTATGAATTAATAGTTTTGTTTATTAATTCTTCCACATTGAAAAGCTGGTGATAAGTTAAACAGACTTTCTTCCTTCTTCCTCTATTGCTTTAATTTTTCATTTAATATTAAAAGACAAAACTGAATTTGTTTAAATTCCAGGGGTCATGTAAGATATTCTCTGGATGAAATCAAGGAGTGCAGAATGTTCAAATGATCCCATCATTCTACAGCTCTGTGTTATCTTTAATGTTACATTTTCAAAGATAAATGACAACAACCCCCCCCACCACCCCAAGTATTTGCTTCATGAATCTGTTTCTTTAAGAACATAAACGGGGCTTAAAGCCTAAAATATAATAGTAAGCAGAGAAGGTAAATAATAAAAATTCTACCTCATATCACCCATAAAATCAGTTCAATTTAGAAAGAGAATGAGCATCCATTCAATCAGGCGAACAGTCAGATGCATTGTTGTTCAAATTATCTCACATTAAGAGATGACTGTGACATGAAAATGTTGATTCCATAGGGCCTGTGATACATATGGCAAAGTACCCTGGATTTTGTTCTCTAGCAGCTACACAGGGAAACAAATTGCTTGAAGATCCTTGAGACCTTAAGTTAAAAGTGACATAAACACTGTACTGTCGCATTAGACTTCAAAGTACTGTATTTTTTAGTTGGTGTTTTCTTCTTTCACCAGCCAATGCACAGCTGGCAGATGTCCATGACTTTGATTGCTCATGAATCCAAAAGCATGTCTGCCTTTTAAATCCACGCCACTGGTTCTGTCTGCTAAAAAACCCCTGTGCACTAAGTTTGGGGTTCATGTGCACTGAATTTTTTGCATTACAATTGACCTATTTCACCACAGTGAGTCAGACCCTTTCTGTTTCCTTCAGACGACAGGGACTTCACAATGGGCTCCATCAGTGCAGCAAATGCAGAATTTTGTCTTGACGTATTCAAAGAGGTGAAACTTCACCGCAGCAATGACAATGTGCTCTTTTCCTCCCTGAGCATGCTTTCAACCCTGGCCCTGGTGTATATGGGAGCAAGGGGTAAGACTCAGTCCCAGATGGAGAAGGTAAGTTACTTACCTTTACTTAGTAAAGTGACCTCTACTTGTGCTACTTGTCCCTTCTCAGTAACATCACTGAAAAAATATTATCCACTGATGAGGTTCTCACCTGTTTCAGTGCACAAGAACTAAGCCAACATCACAAAATGGACAACTGAATCAAGAGTTATATATAGAAAATACTAATTAAAAAGGTGTATATTTTCAATATAACAGGCAGCTGACTTAAACTTAAAAAATAATCTCAGGGACAATAGCAAAATAGATTACCAGTCAGGCAATTTTAAGAATTTTAAATTCTGACAAGTTCCAAATGATGTAATCAGATTTTCTTTTTTTAATATCTATATAAAAGATAAATCCCAGAAAGACAGGAAGACAGAATATTTTTATATTTTTAGCAATACATAATATGTAACTCAATTAATTTCTATACATTCACTATAAAAAAATATAATCTAAGCAAAGTATTTACAGTTTCCAAGAAGGTCACAGAGGGAATAGACCTGTTGCAAGCTCACCTGTAAATTTTCAGTTAATCTATTTTCTCAGCATTTTTTTTTTCTGAGCCAACAGGATTTTTTACACAAGTAACATGTGTAAATCTCAAATTCACATTATTTTTGATCATGCTTTTCATTTCTACCACTGGTATTTTCTCTTGCAGGTTCTTCACTTTGATAATGTTACAGGAGATAGAGACATTTCTGACTCCCAGGTAGAGAAACAACTTAATTTTCCTATCTGTCTTATTTTCTCCTCAGAATGAAAGTAGAACTTTTCTGTCTCTCCTCCTGGCAGCTTCAGACCCTGACAAAAACTACAGTAATGGCCTCAAACCAAGGGGATCTGTGGAGGGAAGGAGGGAGGGTGTGATTCACCTGTTTTTTAAATAACATAGAAAGACAGCAGGTTGCTTATCTTGCACCAGAACAAGTAATGGTGTGGGAAGAATGCCTTGGGCACCAGGGTGTCTTCCCAGGCAAGTGCTGCTGGGGGATGAGTGAAGAGGGCTCAGTACCTAGAGCCAGGGTACAGCAGTTTGATTTTCAGCTGGGCAGGAAGATGCTGAGCAGAGTCCAGAAGTCTCAGTGACAGGAACTCAACTGCATCTTTTAAAAAGCACATTTCAGGGGATTTGTCTTGACAAGGATGAATTTGCCAGTTCAAAGCACCACCACAGCACTATCTGTCCCAAAGGTGACAGTCTGTGGGGGAAGACTGCCCTGTGGCATCACTCTTAACTGAAAGGGACAATACTTTAGAATCCTATTTCCTTATGCAATCTATCTTATTTTCTCATGTCATCACCTCAGTGTGGCACTGCTAAGTACATCCACAAATCATTCAAGGATCTTCTCTCAGACATTGGCCGGCAAAATGCTACTTACTCACTCAGGATTGCTGACAGACTCTATATTGAAAAAACATACCCTATTCTTCAGGTGAGTTATACTGTGAACTGACTTCCATGAGATTTCCTGTAAATCCCCTGTGATTCTGCCCTAGAGATGCACCACCAACTCTGCTGAAGAAGAGATGCTGGTGAGCCATCAGGAGAAGTGGTACAGAATGAGTTTGGACCTTTCTGTGCCTATCAGATGAAGGCAAAAATATAGTCGCATAAAGTAGCCTATATTGAAAATCACAGGGAGTAATCAAGATTGCTGTTAATTTACTAGAAAATTGGCTTTTAATGAAAAATGTTAACTTTTAAGGGAAATTAATTAAACTTTATTACTTGAAATAATGAAAACTGAAGTTGTCACTAGTTTTCCTAGTGAAAAGCTTTGATTTTCAAATCTAAGAATGTGAGAACACAATATTCCAAGCCCTAAAGGGTGAACACAAAGAGGAGACAAACATTTTCTGTCCTTAGAAATGTTTGTTAAACTGAGGCTATATTGGTAAAACAAAGGAAATGTATCAAAATTTTAACTTAGAACCCTGTCTCATCAAAAAGTGCCAGACCAATATATGTGAAGCAATCTTTCTTGTACAGCTTTAAGATTCAGTTACAGGAAGACAGCTGTGACTGATATGTTCAGTGTCTGACATGTTCAAACCCAGGAGTAAACATTCACTATTCCTTAAAACATTCTGCTTTATTTCACAATCTTGCTTTACACATCCATATAATTCCAAGTTCTTATCTGACAACTGTAACCCTTCTGCTTGTAGGAATACATAAAGTGTGCACAGAAATTCTACAAGGCAGAGCTGGAAGAAGTTGACTTCAAAACAGCTGCAGAGAAAGCACGACAGATCATCAATTCCTGGGTGGAAAAAGAGACAAATGGTAAGGACTGAAAAATGAGTAGCAGGTATTTTCCCTCACCTACCATAAACTATATCCTTGTCTTCTTCTCCTCACAATCTTCAGAAAAGGTGGGTCAAGCAAGAGCTGGTTGCTTATTGCTATGAAAATGAAACTCCCCAACCCGCACCCTCACCCCAACATTGCCAAGATTTGTGCACACCAGAGGAGCTGTACCTTACAGCTTGTCTTATCTCTGCCCTGTCTCTTTCTTAAAGGACGTATCCAAGACCTCATTGTGTCAGACTCTATTGATCTCAATACTGCGCTGGTCTTTGTGAATGTCATTTACTTCAAAGGGATATGGAAAACTGCATTTAAAAAAGAAGACACTGAGGAAGAGCCTTTCAATGTGACCGAGGTAGGAGGGTACAGACACACTTCTGGCCAGGACATCTGTTGGCTCACACAGCCAGAAGTTTGGGTGTTACAAATACCCGTCACAGGTTGGGTGATATAGCTGAGTCCCTCATTGTCAGTGCCTGGGCCTAACGACAAGTAGTGTTTGCAAGATCTGTGTCTGACCAGGATTCCAGGGCATACAAGCAGGCAAGAGAAGAAAATGGAGACACAGCCCTTCTCCAAAGGCAGCATGATTGAAAATTGAGTCCTGTCCTTTCAAAGTACATTTGTCTGACCAAAGAAAAAGATTGCTGCTCCCACATCACATCATCTCATTTTTGTTTTTGCAGCAAGAGAGCAGACCAGTGCAAATGATGTATCAGAACAACACCTTCAAAGTGGCAAGAGTGGCTGAAGACAAAATTAAGATCTTGGAGCTTCCGTACACCAGTGGAGAGCTGAGCCTGTTGGTGCTGCTGCCTGATGACATCTCTGGCCTGGCACAGGTATGGCCTGGCAGGGCAAGCAGAAGAATTATGACTTCAGTGGGCTTGGCTACTGTCAGACTTTTGCTGTCCATTGACGTCCCAGCTTCCCACCCTACGGCTGTGCTGGGCAGGCAGGGGAGCACAAAATCTGTCCAGGTGCTCAGGCAGAGCCTCTTAGGAGAGTCCTGAGCTCAGTTTTATAAAATGAAGGTAAAGCATTGTAGTGCTGCTGCAGCCCTGCAGAAGAAGATGTTATTATATGCACCAAGTTCCATTGGGTATCAGAAGCAGGCAAGGTAGCAGTATTTTTTTATCCCTGTGAGTGATTTCAAATGTTTGCTGAAGGAAATAAGTTTATCCTCGGAGAAACAAAAAATGAAAGTGATGAATAAAGCATTCCAAATGCTGACTAAAAGGAAAATGAGAAAAGTAACATTAGAAAGGAATAAAGTTGAGGAAAGGGATCAATAAAATATCTTCCAAGAGGAAGAGTTTTAGGGCAAATTTGATTTGATGTTTTCAAAAACTATATTTTTACACAAATAGACTTGATCTGATGGAGAAATTTTCAGATGAAAAACCTTTGAGGAACTTCCTCAAGACTGACAGATGATATAGGCTCCATAGTCAGGAGGAAGCATACAGGAAAAACGAGTGTCTTTAAGAACAAGTACCAGTTCTGTTGTGTGCATAAAGTAAATGGATAGGGCCAGTAACAGGTGGTAAAAACACAGCTTTGAAGGCCATTGAACTTTTGTCTCAGACATTTCATTTCCTGCCTCTCTTTGCAGCTGGAGAACAAAATCAGCTATGACAAACTCATGGAGTGGACCAGTCCCAAGGTGATGGAAAAGAAGAGGGTGAGAGTGTACCTCCCACGCATGAAGATTGAGGAGAAATATAACCTCACATCTGTCTTGACATCCTTGGGTATGACCGACCTGTTCAGCCCCTCAGCCAACCTCTCTGGCATCTCTTCAGCAGAGAGCCTGAGGATATCTGAGGCCATTCACCAGGCATACGTGGAAGTCACTGAAGAGGGCACTGAGGCGGGTGGCTCAGAGGTTGTGACCGGAGAGATCCAACAGTCCTCTGAGGTTGAAGAGTTCAGGGCTGACCACCCATTCCTTTTCTTGATCAAACACAATCCAAGTGACATGATCATCCTCTTTGGTAGATATTGTTCTCCCTAAGGAGAAAAAGGGCTGGAAATAATGCTTGCCTATCCCTAAGAAACAGACCTGCTTTACTCTAGTATAATATCATCTCTTCACTATCTCTAAGTGGAAAGCCGTCAATACCTAGAGAGATATTCCTGAAGAAGTGTGTGACTTTTCAGATCTTTGGGTGCAGATATTTCTGTTACACAAGTTGTACTTAGGACTTATATCCAGGAATAAATGAGAACTTACAAGAGGTAGCTTAGAAATATTTTTCCTCGTGATTGAATAACTTAAGACTCAGGACCAGTGTTTTGATTCTTGTGAGAGATTCTGACACTGATATTGAGTCTGTTTTTTCTATAGGAGTTCTCTGAAATAAACACAGCTTTTAGAATATTCCTGTTCCTTTCTGTTGAACTCCTTGGGCAACCATCCTTGAATTGATGCCTGGACAACTTGCAGACAAAATTCTTAATTTTAGCAAATCATTCTTCTTTGAGTATTGCATTTGTGTTTCTTTGTGATGCACATACTGTAAGGCTAAGGTCTCTTGTTTTGAGGGGGCATACAGAAAGTTTACCATTTCTTCTTAAATCATCATCTCCAAACACATCACCTTCCTGACTGTTTCCCATCTTCATTCCTGGCACATGTCATTGACTTGTGAATGGCAATTGTTGGTCCTTCTATTTATTCTAATAAAAGCATTGCAAACTAAACATGTCTCTACCTGTTTTGGTTTACAGTACCACACAACCAAAATATGTGATAGAGTGGGTAATGGTTGTGAAGGGGTTTAGACTAGGATTTAGATTCTACTTTCAAAACCAAAATGTACCTATATATGAAGTCATTAAAGAGCCTAACTTTTTTTTTTTTCTAAAATTCTGAGTGTAAGCAAGATAAGCCCTACAGCTCCTCTTTTTACCTTGTGCTCATATGGATATATGACATATCAAATAACTCAGTTTATTTTAATCTGCTATCGTATTTCCAGATAGTTTTAAAAGATTTCCTCTAATTATTGTCAGTAAATGCATTGAGGAAATGTCTAGGAGATACAGCTTGAAAAACATGAGAAAAGTATTTTTCTTAAAAGGTGGACTACTTCAGCTGTCTAATACCCACAAGAACCACACAAGGAAATCTTTGTTACTGACTTTTGATAACATAATCCCCTAGAGACATTATTTTCTATTTCAGAGTCTTCAGGGGGGAAGGTTCTTCAGGGTGCAGTTTATTCAATTGAAAGACTTATTAGTGTTAACCACTTACTTAAGCAATCTTCCTTCTGCTGGCATACACGTGCAGAACTGCAAATGACAGTACTTTAAAAGTGCTTAAAAGAGGGAAACACTTGGCAGTATTTGGAGCTATCTCAAACATTTTTGAAGTCAGTATTAAATATAACTTGAAATGATGACTACAGGAAAACACATCTTTTTGATTGCTGTGAAGCCTATGGGAGAGCTGCAAATACTGGTCTTCCCAAGACATTTATCAAGGATTAGACACAGTTAACACAAGTATTCAAGCAAAAAAGTACTTCTTTTTATATATGCAATTTCAAGGTTTACTGTGCATATTGGGTTCTGCTTCCCTTATAACCTAAAGCAGCAAACAGAGTTTTGCTACAACTGAAACAAACAAAAAAAAAGGCAGAATATATAAAATACTGTTCTAAGAGGCAGAGGGTGAAAGTTTATGTACAGTTATGAATCTGTTATTAAACTGAAACAAGCATATCTGTCACTCTGCGCTTTCTAGGTGAAAATGAAATTAATATTTATTGAATTATATAACATGAATATAAAAAAATAACTATTCTCTAGTTTATTTGTTCCTTTGCTTGATGATTTTTTTAAAGAAAAGAAATTGAGAAAATCAATGGTAATGAAATGGTAAATGGTTTCTTAACACTACATATGAGAGAGGTCCACCTAATGTCCTCACTGAGAAACAAGTATTGGGCTCATTTTACATTGGGCCGTTAGGTGTCACTAGGGATACAAAATGATGCCTCAAGTCTTCTGACAGGCTGTTGACAACTAGCTTTGGCAGCTTCATGTAGGTTCCAATTTTGTTCCTATTTTTTTTGCAAGCAGATAATTATGATCAATACGGTGAAAATGTAGACTGGTGGCACTGGGCTTGAAACCCAGCCATTTTTGAAGAAAAAGACAGAAATATTATTTGGTGAAAAATCAGAGACATTTTAAGATGTCTGTGTCCTGGAAAAAAGATCATGGTCAAAACACTATAGAATGTGTAGAGCTGTTTTGTTTATGAAAGAGAAACCACCCTCCAAAAAGAGGCTAAAATCAGAGGTAAAAGTGCAGATTCAGCAAGGTTGGATAAGATCAATAGCCCTGGTCTGGGCCCAGTACTGCCCTTGTGTGTTGCTGGTCTGGGCTGGCAGGACCCGCTGCAAAGGCACTGCCTTGGTCAGTGTGGCTGCTGCAGCTCCCATGGGAAGCAATTCTGAAAAGACCAGTGTGGAGGGTGTTACAAAGAGATGAGGGAAGAGCAGCTGTGTGGAGAGCAAACACTGCCTGCTGCTTCACAGATATGAAGTCCAGCAAGAATTTAATAACATGAATCCCAGCTCCCTCAAAGTCTAGGTATTGTCCTACAGTTCTTGTTGCTCCCTGGCAGCATCACTGAAGCTGGTATGTCAATAAACTGTCATCTGTCCATTCACTACACTCCATTTTCACTACATGCCATGTTGTTCTGGATTTACAGTACTGCCAGGGGTCTGTGGAACAAAATTAGACACATGCACAGGGCAGCATTTGAAATGCTGTGTGAACTGAGTGTGCCTTTCCTTCTCATGTCATTTGGAGAAGGGTTGGATGTGACATATCTTCCCTGCCCTTTGGGGAATACAAATTTCTGAGATCATTCCGTATCCCTCTCCATATATGACTTGTGAGAGAGGGCTCCAGTCTCTTAAGCAAACCAAATCCATGGCTCAAGGCACAAGATGTAGCAGGCATGTGCTTTAACCATTGTTTCTAGAGGAAGTGCAGGACCTCACAGATGGTCCCAAACTGGCACCCTGTGATGATGCTGCTGGCATATCCTTGTCTTTATCTTGATGTGAAGCTACATTTTTCTTTTAGTATACTTTCTTTCATCAGTAGAAATGATAAACAGAACATATGTAAAAAAGTGTAAAGATCACACCACCAGTGAACATCTTCATTCATGAGATATGCAGAGTGTGCTGTTCCCTCAATAAAGATCCATCCAGTGCTGCGCCACTTTGGGATCTGACCACTGGAAGGGACATGAAATTGTCTATGCTCTCTCCTTTCCTCCTCTCATGTAATTTCTAATAAAATACACTTTAATAATTTTCTTACTAGTGTCCAAAATGAACACTTGCAGTGCCCATCTTGCTGAGGTTTATGCCCAGGCAAAGGCACGCAAACCAGCAAGGACCAGTCAAGAGACTCCACTTAAATTCTTCTCTTGAGTGAGAGGGATGTAGACCCCCATGGAGGCATCTCACAGCTCTGCCACAAACAGTGCCCTGATTCACGGCTTGGATAGTTGCTTTGCATGTCCCACACAGTCAAACTCTTATGAGAGGGATGATCTCAAGGCTAGAGGTTTCTGAAGTCCTGAGTGTTATGGAGGCAGTGTCAGGGGTTGGCTATTCAGTATATCTTCTGACACAGGAACTTAATGGTATTAAAAGAGGTTAGTAGAAAGCAGTTTAAAAACCCCAGCACATAGAGGTAGCTGACAACAAACAGCTGAATGATGGAATTAATGGTCAAAGAATGAAGAAGATGATAAAATTTCACATGATTTTAAAGGGAAACTGGAAAAAAAAACAAACATGGAAGATAAATCAATTGAGAGGTAGTAAATATATAGAAAATACCATCAGCTATTTAAGTTCCAGGACTGACAAGAGCCAGTGTTAGGACCCTGAAAGCACTACCAGCTTCAGCAGGAGATTTCCTCAACACCCTCTGCAGATGGGTCTGGAGCCTGTATTGGGCACTATGGAACCATTTGTGAAAGGACAAGAACTGCCCTTGGCCAGTTGCAGCAGACCTTGTAATGAATGAACTCACTGTACGCCAAAATTCCAGTCAGAGGGAGCATACAGCACCTCTGCTCGAGTGTAATTAAGAGAGAGTGAACAGAGACATATGACAGATGTGTTTGGAGAAACAAAAGAGAGAAGACATAGGGATGTAAATAAGAAGGGGATGTTATTAAGAGCACAGCTGAAGGCACACTCTTGGGAGTCACTTCTGGGGCATTGCAGCCACAGACAGCTCATGCCAGGGCAGTGATACACCAGAGGGACTGCTGCCTGCTGGTGACTGATGCTGAAGCAAGGACATCCCTGTGGAACTGCAGCTCCTGAAGCAGACTAGAGCACAGGATAAAAGTGAGCAGAAACATCTGGAAGATATAAACAGTCATACCCCAATCACAACCTCTTCCATTGCTTACTGCTTCACCAAAGGGACTGGTGAGCACTGAGTGTAACAAGGAAGCTGAAACTACTAAGCATAAGAAGTCTTTTGTATTGAAGTGAAATGTGGGGAAGCAGGATGAAAGGTCTGTTTCATAGTTTGTTACATTGATTTTGTCAGCTCCCAAATAAACAACAAAAATTTAATGTCAATCAGCAAGAAATTAAATGAAACTCCCCAAGTTGAAGCTGTTGTCCAAGAGAAGCCTGTTTCAGCCTAGACATAGTGCTGAAGTACACTGCAGGTTCTTGTCTCCAGTTCTACCTCCTGACAGACCTCAGTCCTAAGCCTTGTAGCCTTGTCTCCAGGCCCATCTCTTTTGCTCATTAAGTGTATGACAGAGCTCTGAGTGCACTAACAAATTTGTAATAGTCCTGCTCAGCCATACCTGGAGTCTCTCCCACACCTGTGACCCCAGGAGCTCTAAGGTAAGTGCTGGACTTTCAGTTCCCATCTGTATTACATCAGTGGTGTGTCAGTCTCCAGTTCAAACACAGCTGTGCCCATTCCTGGCCAAGGACTCCTAAT